TGTGTGTAAGAGAGTGTGTGTGTGTCTGTACATGTACATGTTAATGCATGTGTGAGTGTGTGATGCACGCATACACACACATGTACACATACACACACACGCACACACACACACACACGCACACACACGCACGCACACACACACACACACACACACACACACACACACACACACACACACACACACACACACGCGCACACACACACACACGCACACACGCACACACCACACACACAGACACACCCACAGACACACACACAGACACACCCACAGACACACACACACACACACACACACACACACACACACACACACACACACTGTATCTACCGATGCCCCATCAGAAACACACAGACAGAAATATCTACTGGAAATGGGACTGAATCCAGCTTTGATTACAGTTATTAAAAATATGGCATCAATCACAGTATGCGTCACTGCATTCTGATACTCATCTGTGTGTGTGTGAGTGTGAGTGTGTGTGTGTGTGTGTGTGTGTGTGTGTGTGTGTGTGTGTGTGTCACTGTAATGATAAAGGAAATGACAGATCATTCCTCATGGCTTTATCAGCTTGCTTTCAAACATCTGCCCCTGGGATGATTTCATTGGTAATATTTCTGCTCTAGGGCGGCACGGTGGCTCAGTGGTTAGCAATGTGGCAGGTTTGAGCCCCGGCAGGGTCTGTTAGCGTTTCTGTGTGGAGTTTGCATGTCCTCCCCGTGTTGGCGTGGGTTTCCTCCAGGTGCTCCGGTTTCCCCCACAGTCCAAACACATGCAGTACAGGGGAATTGATGAACTAAATTAGCCTTAGGGTGTGTAAACGAGTGTGTATGGGTGTTTCCCAGTACTGGGTCGCAGCTGGAAGGGCATCCGCTGTGTAAAACATATGCTGGAATAGTTGGCGGTTCATTCCGCTGTGGCAACCCCTGATAAATTTAAGATTGAATGAATGATGACAGCACATAATATTTTGCTAGTTTTCCAGTGTTATAAAGGTGCCGGGTGAAAAAACCTTCTCCAATATTTAGAATTTGGATTGCTAAACCAAGTTCGACCACTAGGTGTCAATCCTTTACAGGTGACCTATCATGCCCTTTTTGACAAGAGGTAGTGTCTTGATGTGTCTGATGTCCTTAGAGTGTGTGTGTGTGTTTCAGTTTGAGCTGAGAATAGCCCACAGATAATGTTAATAACTCTCTGAAGCTGACCCTTTCAGGCTTTCATCCTAATGGTGGCGTTTTGGTGACTGTCGCTTTAAATGCGAATGTGCTCTTTATGAAAGAGGGTGGAGCTACAAACGCCTGTGAGTCAGCATAGTGGCAGATTCAACAACTCTAATGGTTGCTGTTTATGCTAATGAGGGAGAGACGGCCACTAGTGGGCGGGGCTTTCCCTCTCTATGGAGAAAGCCCCACCCACTAGTGACAATGTGTGTGGGTGTGTGTGCTGTGCTGTTTTCACCAGTGCGTGGCGTCTTGATGATGAAGGCCTGGAATGATTAAGTGTGTGTGTGTGTGTTACCTGTGCGTGCCGTCTTGATGTTGACAGGCTGGAATCCTCCGTTGAGCGCAGATGAGTCCATGATGTCCGAGTCGAAGTCTCGGTGGTTTTTCCTGTAGACGAAGAGCGCCACGATCACCGAGATCACCAGACACATGATGACGGCGATCACGATGCCCACGTACAGCGCCACGTCATCTGTGCTAGGGGCCGCTGAACACACACACACACACACACACATGCACACAAACAAACACACACACACATGCACACACGCACACACACACAAATGAATTCACTCATCTTTATTTCGATAGCTCTTTTTAAATATATTGTGTGTAAAAGCAGCTTAACATAGAAGAACAAAGAGAATATAAGATATAATATTACAGGTTGTGAAACATTCCAGCTATGCACAGTTGCAGGAGAGTAGTGTAGAAACACACACACACACACACACGTCTCTGATTGAGTCTGCTGCACTCGTGTGTCTGCAGTGATAGAGCTGTAGAGCACCAGCAGAGGGCGCTGTCAGCCACGAGTACAATAAACCACATTCACTGACACGCACACACACACACACACTACAGATTCACACACACTGTAAACCTCTCTGATTCAGGGGGTGATTTAAAAAGCACTGGTAATATATGTTGTGATTATATTTAAATACTAGAATAAGGCTATCTAAGAGTGAAACAAACAGAATTATATAAAATCCACTCATTTTCCTTCACCTTAGTGCCTTATTTATCAGGGGTCACCACAGCAGAATGAACTGCTAACTATTCCAGCATATGTTTTACACAGTGGATGCCCTTCCGGCCGCAACCCAGTGCTGGGAAACATCCATACACACTCGTTCACACACACACACACACACTCATACACTATGGCCAATTTAGTTCAATTCCCCTATAGCACATGTGTTTGGACTGTGGGGGAAACCGGAGCACCCGGAGGAAACCCACGCCAACACAGGGAGAACATGCAAACTCCACACAGAAATGCCAACTGACCCAGCCGAGGCTCGAACCAGCGACCTTCTTGCTGTGAGGCGAATGTGCTAACCACTGAGTCACTGTGCCACTCCTGTTAAAAATTTTATATATATATATATATATATATATATATATATATATATATATATAT